ATCTACATAATTATCGAATCAATTAAATAATTACAAAATGGAATTAATATTTTAACATTGTTACTGATACCAACATAAGAATTACTGGACAAAAAGAGTAAACAACTATGTTCTGTTAATTTATTTTGATTTGAACTGATTGTACTCCAAATAGATTCATACATATTATGCATATAGTATATAGTTTAATTTCATCACTTTATCCTTCCTTGATGAAAACCTTCAACATCAGTTTTGTCATTAGTTACTTAATAAATCTCAAAAGTCATAGGTTAAGAATTGTTATCGGATTAGAAAATTAATGAAATCTTTATCAAAAAATCTAACTTTGATAATAGGCCTTCTATAGTTACTTCCTAATGTATTTTTTTTATTGAACTGTACCTGTGTTAGCAAGTATGTTGAGAGAACTGTTTTAATAGACTGACAGAATATATGTCAAACAGTTAAGTCGTGATTGATTTAAACTAACCAGAAGTATCATAAGAATACATACAATAGATACAAGTTGTTCAGTAGAAGGTAATACTACTATTTAAGTGAAATTTAGACAAAAGAACGTTTAACTTTTAAATTACGCACAATCAGCTCATGTTCATTGTCTTAATTCTAATTTTTATGTATAAGAACAATAAATGAGCCACTTAGGACTAACGTAGCAAACAGTTCACTAATATCTTTACCTTTGTTTTCAAGATATTTCATACTGAGTTTTGTTTGTTTAACTTATATCCTTTAAGAAAATTCTTCATTATGATCAAATTATTTTTAATGTAAGATCAATTATAAAAATTCTTATTATTTTGATGTTGTTCATTCAGATTTTTGATACTCTCATATCAACTTTTCGAGAAATCGTTTTGTTTCTATGGTAACATGTTCAACCATTATTAATATTAGCGTATAATTTCAATCAAAACACCAATAACGGGATAATCAAGATCATTACACTTTTCAAAAGTTAGTGGTATAGTGGAATCAGTAGTTGAAAGAGAAACGAAGTAACGTTTTAAGCCAATGGTGAAGTGAAGGAAGACATGGTGCAAAATTACCATTTCATTGTTTAGTACAAAATTACAGAATGCTTTATTAAAATACGAAATCCAGACATTGAATACTTCATTTACACATCTTCCATCAATTGTCTCTTACAAAATTCATTGTTCCTTCATTCCTATTGCTATCACAATTACTCCATGTTTACATCTTAGTTCTCTTCATTTCGATTTTCTCAATCTTCTGTTGTTAGGCCTTCCACTTCTGATTGATGTTACATACTATTTATATCTGTCGACATAAGTAGCATACACCACGACGTTACTGATTTCAATTTGTTGTTGTTGTTGGTGGTGGTGTGGTGAACGGTTTTATTCACCTGATTGCTCAAAGATGATCGGTAGTGTCACTGTTTGGTCCATGCATTATCGATCCTTACGGAATCCAGCGTGTTGATTACGAATTCGGGCGTCTACTGAGTCTTTTATCTGGTTCAGATTATGATAGACTCGTCAGCTGGATTTACCTGGACCACCATAATTTGCTTGGAGTTGGCGATGACAATACATATCTACTCCAAAAACAGTACCACAAACGTCTAGGCAATTAGTACACACTTATAAAGTGTCGATTTGAGACGGTTAATAAATTCCTGAAGCAGTCAAGTGGACATTTTATTGTTTCGTCAGTTCTTTCAAAAAACGTGGTTTTTCATTAATGAACCACTTCTCTAATTCGGATCAATTATGTAGAAAAGTTGTTTTGCCCGAAAAAAATTGTGTCAAATATCGGGGACAATTAGACCGGAAGTAGACCAGTTGGTGTAAATTTTTTACGAAAAATGGCGTTTGAAGCAAATTTAGCTGAAAAGTAGACTATTGTGTGAATTTAATGAGGGAAATGAACTATTTGACTTCGATACAAAACTGTCTTGTAGTGTCAATACTATGTCAAGCAGACATAACTTATTCTAGTTTCCGCACACCAATTTATTTATTCTTATTGAGTCGATTATGCGCTTGATAAACATGACTATTTTTATATGAGCATATGTGTATATCGCTTAACACATGCATCACATTTCTTTAGTTATTTTTGTTTGGCTATACATATTGAGTCACACTTTATCAAAGTGAGTTGCTATGTTCGCCTTCTCTGGTCTGTTTCTCCACTTCATTCCTCTGATTGTCTGTTTCGGTCAACGAGTGTATGAGATAGATATACGTTTTCAAAATTCATCCTCATATTTGACGTATTTTATTCCGTTATTCCCTAACGCGAATTAAATCGACTACTATAAACGAGAGTAGACGGCGTGCATATTTCTTTGAAATCATCATCCCATCAAATCGAAGTCAGATCAACGGGCCGTTAAAGTCTCTTCAAAGAAGACATTTGGATGGAAAGTTTCACTATTTCCCTGAATTTACACCGAATTCTTCGTAAAGGACGTTTATTTCCTCCCAAGCCTCCCTAAATATTTGTCCATTGCAGTTTGCTTGTAGTTGGCGATGACAATACATATCTACTCCAAAAACAGTACCACAAACGTCTAGGCAATTAGTACACACTTATAAAGTGTCGATTTGAGACGGTTAACGAATTCCTGAAGCAGTCAAGTGGACATTTTATTGTTTCGTCAGTTCTTTCAAAAAACGTGCAACCATTAATCAATTCTATCTAAAAATACGACGTAGGGGTGGTAAATATTCCAGTCATTTCCAGTGATTTGTTAACTGATATCAACCAAACGTCAATGGTATTATTAATAATACGGCAATTCCGTTTTCTCACTATCATAGTCAGGATCTGTAATACGAACGTGAAGACAGTTCTACTGTATGGAGCTGAATCTTCGCGAACTACCATAACTATCATCGACACAGTACGAGTATTTATAATCAATTGTCCACACAAAATACTTAATGTCTGTTGGTCGGATCTGATGAGCAACAACTTACTATGTGAGAGGACAAACCAACTTCCGTATGAAGAGGAAATGAGTAAAAGATGTTGGTAGTGGATTAGATATACATTACAAAAATCATCAGACTGCATCACGATGCAAGCCTTAGCTTTGAATCCTGAAGGGAAATGGAAAAGAGGACGACCAAAGAATACACTGTGTCGAGAATGTGAAGCAAAAATGGAAAGGATGAATAGAAACTGGAAAGGATTGCTCAGGACGGAGTTGGATGGAGAATGCTTGTGAGCGGCCTATGCTTCTCGACGAGTCGTAACAGGCGTAAGTAAATAAGTCATCTCAGTGCTACAGGAGATCATTCTTGGCGTGAATAGCTCAGTGATAACGTCTGAGGCTGTTAAACTGGATGACACGTTATTTAATCTGCTATGAAACATTGGATCTCTAAAGATTACATGTAATCCTTGCTGACCGTTGCCAACTAGTATGGTACCTAAATCCAAGGATTCATGCTGACTTCCTTCAAACACCCAACACAATAAATATTGATGACTTGAAATAAGAACCACGCTATGTAACAAAGAAAACGAAGTTGTGATTTTTATTCATTTAATCTCTACTTAAGAGCTTACCTTTGGCATGCCTGCCATAAGAACTGGAGGTTCCGGGTGCAATCTTGCATGGAACGTTTGTTAATTCTATCGTGGGTGTCAAATCAAATCTAAACACCTATCTTATCCTACCCTGTTCTTTGTCTGATGAGACTTATCATTCATATATGTTTGATTATCTTTTTTAAGATATAGTTCTAAGTAAAACTTAGAACATACAAATTCATCTTTCAAACTGGGATTAATTACACAAAAAATGTGATCAATTAGATTGTAATATTTTCTTAGTTAAAAGTTATACTACTATCAAGTAGCTTAAAGTATCCCTAAAAAACGTATTCTCGAATAATCATAGAGAGCAGACCATATATATACTGCTTATGAACAATTTACATGATTCAAACATTTTGTTGAAAATTGAACTTGTAAAAGAGTATCATCATACGCAAATTCACCCTGACTATATGCCAAAGACAGCTATTACCTCCCATTTCAGTAATAGAAACGCATAAAAAACATTCCAGCAGTTTGTCGATCAGGTTCTCCTAGATTCATCGTTTGTATACGCATATAAAGAATCTCTGCTAATGGCTAGTAAAGATGAGACAGATAATCTAAATCATTTAAAAAGACTATTTGAAAGGCTGAATGAATATGGCCAAGCAACTAGTCTGGCAAAATGTGAACTCGGAAAGCGGTTTCTTATTTACTCATTTCATATACTTAAGAATCAAGATACCATGAAAACTTACCCTTCACTAGATTAATTTTAAAAAATCACGTCGATTTTCTGAACCCATTAAATTTTTTCCACGACCCATCCGTAATTATGTCGCTATTCTTCAGTCGTTGGTAGATAATCTACGAAGCTATTCACAAACATCTCATCCCAAGTCACACAATCATTTAAAAACGAGAAAGATACGCTTAATAAACAATCATTTTTTTGTATAATAATAATAAGTCTATACATTTTTCGATTTTAAAAAGAAATAATTCTGTACAAAGTAGATATATGTGTGTGCGAAAAAGAGGTATACAAAAAGGAGGTAAGATTATGAGTTAACGATCAATGGGTCAGAGACTAAATAATATCTCATAAATTAAACCAATAAATATATATATTCCAGAAATTAGTCAGCTTTTTAAATAATATATAGTTACTTCTTTTTCCAGAATTCTTTCAATATCAGTTGTAGATTACTAAAACATAGTTTATCAGTAGTACCCAAGATGATCCATGCAAAAGTAAATATATTTACAATTTTAGATAAATGACATAATTACATATTTTTTTTCTAATAATTAGATGTAACACATCGCTTAATAGGTAGGTAGTCATCGACTAATGATTAGTAGTATACAAAACACATATAACACAATAGTAAAACAAACAAAACGAAAATTAACAAAACTAAAGCCAAGAGAATAAGTCAAAGGAGATAACACAACAAAAAGGTTAAATACTGCAAACAAACAAACAAACAAGTATATATATATATATATATATATATATATATATATATATATATATATATATATATATATATATATATATATATATAGGGAGCATTAATGAGAGAGAAATATGTCACTAATGATAATTTATAACTGTATTGATGGGAAGCAGCGTTGTTGGTGGTGGTGTTGTTGTTATAACTATCGATGTTAATAATGTCAATATTAATAAGCGATTGATGAATTATATATATAGACAATTATTTAAATGAATTATGAAGTTCAATATTCATTATAAATTATGATTTAATTTTGTATTTCTTTGCACTTCTTTATCAATTATTATTATTACCATTACTATTATTATTATTATTATTATTATTATTATTATTATTATTACTATCATCTAAGATATCATCTCGTGCATAGTATAAATCAAGACAATTCACTCCATGAAATTGATCACGACTAATTTCTTCAATGGACATATGGGAATCTAATAATTGATAAGTATTTGTACTTTCATGATAACTGTATAAAATGAATCGAACACTTTCATCTTAATCAAAAGAAAAAAGAATAAATAGAAATTAAACAAATTAACAAACAAAAACGAAAAATATTTATTAAGATAATAGATAATTCAATGTAATATGATCATATGAAACTATAACTCAATATGATGATGGAATAAGAATTTCGATGAGCAAATATATAAAAAGAAATATTTATTAACATATGCTCATTAGTGACTGATTTCAAGAGGTATATCCTGGAGTTCTAGTGAGAAACAGTGACCAATGGAGTTCAACCGGGTCTGTTGTGAGATAGTAACTCATTGATAACAGTGGTGGATGTGTCACTCAATTTCGTGGATTGGTTGAAGTTAGACATTAACATTGTTAGATGACGGCCAGTTCAGTGGTCTAGAGGTTAAGCGCTCACGTGCGAGACTGATAGGTCCTGGGCCCGAGTCTCACGAGGCGGGATCGTTGATGCGCACTGATGAAGAGTCCCATAGCAGGACAAAACCGCCGTCCAGTGCTTACAGGTTTTTCATGGTGTTCCAGCTTCAATTGACTCATGATCTCAACCACTGAAATATTTATTCCTCTATACTTAACTATTATGTCTCGTCAATTTGTTATAATTGGTTGTTGTCGCTAATTTTTATATCGAAATGATTTATCACTTACACTTGGGAAAAGAAAAGGAGAAACCACTGCAACTCACACAACGCGAAGTAAGAACAAGGCTGGTACATATGAAAATTTATTCACTACAAAACATGATGACGAGCCTAGTTGAAAATACACTCATTTATATATTGATTGTGCACCCATTTTGATTATTAATTAGAATAAAATCAAATATATAAAAAACAAATATCCAGAGTTATAACGAACCAAATGCTAAGCATGTCATGCTGAGCATAGTCCATATTAATTTAATACAAGAATATTTTAACTTAAACAAACATTACACTCAATTAAATTAATATTATACCAAATAAATTATCATACTAGATAAACAAAATAAACATTATACTGAATAATCATCGAGTTCAATTTTTTAAAAAAAAAACGCCAGAAATGTTGCACAAAAATCACAATGAGTAAAAGAATGTAAATTTGCTTTCTTTTTCAATTCCATCTTATCATTAACAGTTTGCGTTACTGAATATAAAATAAATTATGAATTAAACTCACTTGGTGTTTTTTACTTGTATCTTCCGATTGTTATTTAGGACTGCAATTGATCAGTCTCTTGAATGGCATATGTGCATCCTTTGTGGACTGTCTGGATATTGCCTTAGGTCACAAGCTTTATAAGTAAATATGGATAGTGGCTAACAGTGGAATCCTATTCGGAACTTGTCAACTTCATGTACCTACATCTCAAATTTGGTGAACACTCTGAGACTCGAATACAGTGCCGTTCGCTTCAAACCCTATTGCGTTATCCACTTAGCCCCTGCTTATGCAATGGGGTGAATTAGTTTGAATGTAATATTAATTTAATTTTTCAGAAATTACCAATTTTGTTTTGGTTTTGTTATTTTAAACGAAGTAACCAAAACTTAATTTTTAAGAAAAATATTATTGTATATAAAATGAAAACTTAAAAATAATAAGATGAGAAAATGATCGTGCCATAGGAAACTATAATTTTTCTATTAAATATCCCTTTTATAATTATTATAAAACGAGAAATAGGCTTAATATAATATATATAGATATATATCGTTTTATATGATCACTGAACAAGTAGTTTGATTTTCAAAATAAAAAGTCATTATTTGTACTGATCAATTACAAAATAGTAGCCAATTTCATTTTTGATTAGTCTCCTTTAGTACAGATCAAATTCGACAGGTTAATAGGCTTAATATCGAGTACACTATGTTTTGATTTTAACTGGTTACAGATAATAAGTAGGACACGTTAAACCTAGGTTTAGTGAGTGTTGGTACTCATCACAGCGAGGTGTACTTGCAATTCGGAAAGAGATTATGGTTCTTAGTAAAATCGAACTTTACATGAGATCAATGTCAGTTCAAATAAATCAGTAATAACGCCTCAGAAAGTGAAACTGATTTGTATAGATCAGAATCTATCAAGAAGCATCAGTCTCCTCAAAACTGCATGTACGTGTAGTTGAATAGTACAAGTTAGCACGAAAGCAAAGTTTGAGGTGTCATAGCAACTAGCTCCAACTACATAATATTGACTATTATGTATTTAGATAATATAAAATGAAAAATTATATAAATAATTATTTATCCTTAGCAGAATGTATGACCATATATAATATTCTAAATCAAGACAAAATCAAATATTTAAAAGAATAGAATAGTTGAATCATATTTTGAAATTAACTATGATTCATACAATAGTAAAGAAATATAACTATGATTGTACTTACCAGACACTTCTCTGTTTATTCTTTGAAGATTAATACGTACAGTTAAATATCTACATAAATGATCAACTAAATTGGAGATGAAAAATAGAGAACAATAAAGAAATACTTTGCAGCTACAAAAGGATCATGTTGAGAAATGTCAAAATTAACTTATAAATTTCAGTTTTATTTCAATGAAATGGCTTAATAGTTTACTCTAGAGACTGTGTCTAATACAGGGTTGGTATATCAGACAGTAATTTGCTCCTAATAATTATATGACTCTAAAAAGCATCATTTGAAGAAGATATGGATGATTTATTAGTGTCTGATCAACATATCTTCGGGATAATACATACATCTGATAAAACCATTGAGTACGTTTTGTTGACGAAGTACGTGACACATCTCCAACCAATGTCAAGGCTAACGTGCTATATTAACCAGTGTAAAAGTAGACTGGGTAAAGATGACTTAAGGCCAACTTATAACAAGGCATAATGACATCTGTATATGTGAATAATGTTGGGAAGTGTTAACATTTTGATTGAGGTTTATCAGGTAAAACCTTAGGTGATATAGTCTAAAATCGATAGCAGTGGGGCATATGTAAACCTTTTTTATATTGCAGTACACATAAACAGAACCCCACCAAAAAGATCACTAAGTTGGAATTAACCGGTTGCAAAAAGTGTACTACTCTTTTTCATTTATCTTAATTAATAACCTTCAGATGGATAGGTCATGAGCTGTAGATTAACAACAAAAAGAATGGAATTACTCGCATTATAAGTTATTTATACATATTTTTATCAGAGCGAAACGTTACTAAAATGTAAATTATTGATGTCTGTTTGCAATATACGATGTACAAATTCGTTTACATGGCTTGAATTCACACTGTAAATGTGAAGGCTAGTGATGCCATCCGGTTAGCCAAATCGAATTTGGTGGAGTAGTGTTCAAATCTATGATGTGGGGTCAGAAATCAAAGACTCTAACAACTGAGCTACCAATTACCTAGATTTGGATGAGCATGTATCATTATGGTTATTATTAGTATTTCTCAATCAAGAGTGTGACTCAGTATCTGTGTACATAAACCTGTACTTGATAGACAAGTTATAAATAAGATAAAAATAGTAAATTAATGAATAAAAGATATTAAATGTAGAAACTGTGAGGCACGCTAACCTGTAGTTATTGTCGGAGCTTTAAGATATTTGATTAAACCATTTCCTTGATCATTGAAATTACTATTAGGATTATTATTACCATTATTACTGTTAGCATTGTTGGTATTACGATGTCCTGTTGATGTAGATGGACTACACGAAGTAGATGACGCCATAGCAGTGGAAGCGGTATACTGAGAAGAATAACGTGGATGTGGCTTCAATAAGACTTCAATTTCAGGAAATACAGATGGTGATAGCATAGATGAGGTTGAATTATTATTATTATGCAGAATACTACTACTACTATTATTGTTATTAATAATATTACGATCCATGGAACAATTGTATTGAGTATGAGGATGATTCGAATCAGCAGCACCGCCAGCAGTTGCAGTAAACATAGAAGAAGCAGCTGATGTATTATTACGATAATGTAAAACTGGTAAATCGGATACAGAACTATTTTCGCCAATTGAATTTGTATCCATCCCACTTTCCGTATCCGAATTATTAGTTAATTGATGTGATGTAGATGAGACACGTCGTGTTAAACAAGCACCATTACTGATAAACTGAGGAAAAACGGAATTACCAACATGATAGAGAATCAGAAATAAAACACAGATATTGAATAGACAGTAATGTTAGGATTAAAGAAAGTTCAATTATTTTCATTATTACTATTGTAAAATAGTTATTGATATGAAATGATGAGAAAGATTTGCAGTTCAAGGGGATACTTTTGGTGATATTCACATTGTCTAAGTTGGATAGCTTAATCTCAAAGTTCTCAGTATACATCTGAACAAAATTAACAGCGCCTAATTCAGGTAGGAGTGAAGTAGGACGGTGATGATATTGGTTAGAATGATAATGAAAGGTCGCAAATACACTACCCAGCATAGAAAATGAAAAACCACAGAAAAACATTTTTGATTTTCAGTTGTTTATTAGAATCCAAGTAAATCCAGCTGACGATTCTGATAAGACTTTCTTTAAAGAAAGGTTTATTCTGTATTATATTACTAACAAGCGTTAGAAGAATGAAACTCACAGTGGCATTATTGAAACACATGAGCAAAAACACTAAGACGTACTAAAAGCCGATCAATTTCCGTCTAGTCAATTGATAACAAGAAAATTTCACCATTTAATAACTGATTTTGGTTATCAGTTCGCACAGTGGATAATACTTAAGCAACTAAGTGAGTTTTAGACGTAAGACGAAGCTGAACCAGTGGAGATACCAGTCATGTTGTGTTTAGGACAGTTACCAGTGATATTTTAAAACGGTTAAACTACGACATATCAGTTCATGAGGTTAATGGATGTTGGTCTGAGCTGTGATGGTAAGTACAAACTATACAGTATGGATCCACATGATAATCGTGATCAATGGTTAGAGCCCTTAGGGAACTTGGTTTAAAATCGGTCTCACTATCACCAGTGGCTTGTGAACTTTAACCGATTTAAGTCTGAATGATGTTCCAGTCTGATCAATACTGAATGAATCACTTTCTAGAAGACGTTACTACTTTTAAAAAAACCATACTCATATATTCTAGAATACTTTATTTTTTCCTCCTTTCAAGCATTCTAACTTTATAACTACTTTACATGCCACATTATTCACTGTACTACAATCATTTTCAGAATTTTATTTATTTATTCCGCCTCTAGTAAGTGACCCATTTCCCTTAATTGTCGAAAGAATACGAAGAAACGTTAACGCCGTATTAGCCTACCAACAATTGTCATCAAACACTTTTACAGAATTAACGTAATTCAGTCTGAATAGGCATAAAATACTTAAAAGTAGCTCAGTAGTGACTTACTTCAAGATCTTCTTGAAGTTCTAGCAAAAAGTTATAACTGGTTGAGTTGGCACCGATAGCATTGGATTGCCATCGCATCATGTTGTAAGTTGATAAGAAAAATAGGAATTTCACCACTGAGCACAGACATAGTGGTCTTAATAGTTTAAACCTGAAAACCCTAGTGTCATGGGTACACACTGCTAAGGAGCTTCATACTGAAAGGAAATATTTGTCCAGCCCTCAGTGGTTTTGAATAGTACTCCAAGTGAGATCGACTTGTGATAACTACTATCTACAAACTGAACCAATCTCTATAAAGTCCCTTCAAAAAATAAAACTTACATTTGACGTTGTTTCTTCTTCACTTATTCCAGCATCTGTATGTACTTCACTTGTTCCGCCATTGCCAGCATTACTATTGACTAATGTTTGATTACGTCCAATGTTGGTTGAATTTCGTGATCTACTGCCATTACTACTATTAGTAGTAGTATTGTTGTTACCATTTAAGCCTAATTGTTGTTCCAGTGATCTTGTCAATGCTGCACTTAAATGTTGACGATTTAAACGTGCTAAAATTTTATCTTGATGTGCTTCATACTCCTTTTTTGATTGATGATAAAAACCAAATAATGAAATAATTACTAATGAAATGAAACTAAAAAGACAGTTTATATTGATTAAACCAATGAGAAGTAAAGAAAGACTTACATTATGTTAAAACACACAAATAATTAAATAAAGTTACAAGTTCTGATAAATTCTTAGCAGATTCTAAGACAGATATTAATGCATTCAAATTAATGATTGAAGATGTATAGCCGATTTGAGCCAAGTACATTTTCATTAAAGTTGTATAGTAGATAATAGTGAAATGCAGAATGTGTGTTTCCTTCGATTTAGGACTCATGGATTGAATGTAACTGCATTTCAGCATTGATGTTCTCACTAAAACTCAAACCCAGTACCTTTTGCTTCAAGTGTTCACTGAAAGCCACCATTAAACTTTAACAAAAACTTGTGACCAAATACCAATATCGAAGTAATCCATTAACGACGCATATACACCAATAGAGGCTGATCAATTATAATTTCTGACATATCAACAACCGGAAAATGTAAACCCATGAAAATAAAGTAAATTTTCTTCCAAAAAAAATGAACAAAAAACTCAGAATTGTAATTAAGCTGTTTTAGCGATATATTTGAATTGTTGATCTTTTCGTTTTTAAAAAAATTACATGAAATGGCACAAGCTAACTAGAGATTTGTTCACAAACAATTTGACGAAACACACTTAGTTAATCACATGAAAAAAAGAGAATATATTTGAATGTGGGATGACTTTTTTAGCTGTTCTACTTACAAAGAGAGTAGATGGATCTATCAAAAAGAATATCCATCCATTTGTTCCTTCAGGATACTGGAACCCATGTGCACCATTGTTTTGGAATCAGGGTTTCTAAACTCCCCTGGATGGACTCCCCATGTCCACCAACCCGGTTAAAGCGTCGGACATTCGCTTTTCGTCCTCTCATTTTCGTAAACAACACCCCCGCCACGAGGAGGCAGTGAGTAGGACTTCCCTGGCAGAGGCTATATACGCGTGGCCATGTGAGAGCATTTGGAGAGGGAGAGCGGACTCTCCCCACTCTCGGCCGTACCAGCGCAGTTGGGGGCCTTCAGCGTAAGGCAGAGAGGATTTCCCTGACAGGTGCCATAAACGCATGGCAGTAGAAGCATTTCTAGAGAAGAGACTTTCTCTACTTTTGGCCGTACAAGAGCATGAAAGATCGTGGCAACCTTGCAGTATAATTGAGCAGAAGGTTAGTTAAGGCAATTTAGTTAAGATGGACTACACAAAAAACGTTATTAACCCATATTCAATAAAACATCATGTTAAAAGTAAACCCAAAAAAGTAACCAGGCCTTAAAATCTTTAAGAATTAAAGCGTAGCCATTCAAATAAAAAATATTAAAGATTTCCACCTACGATAAACACAAATAACTGATTAAAACTTAATAAATAGATAATATCTAGAGTGAACATTACATGTATTATTATTTAGATTTGTATAGAAACCGTGAAACGACCGTCAAATGTTTATTTCACTCTGATATTTAAAGAGAACATACAATTAATTCCTATTCTCAGTATTATTTAGTGACAAACTACACAATTCTGAAGTCGACAAGTCACATTTTCTAAGTGCTAAATATACCAGATGGTTGCCCAAACTGATATAGATGGAATAATGTTCAGAAAAACAACTTTACGAGTTAGGTGCTTTAAGCTCTAACTTTCCACACTGATATAACCTACAATATATATACAGTAAATAAGTTATGGAAGGAATTGTAAATGAGCATTACTTGACGACTTGGATAAATTTTTGAAATTAACGCATCGAAATTCGGATCTCTTCTTAACGATCTTTTTGACACCAACTTTTTACGACATGTTGGACATTCTTTGTTACCATTACGAAGAGCGGTGATAATACATTCAGAGCAAAAACGATGTAAACATTCTTTCGTTGTCATAGTCACTTTTAATATATCCAAACATATTGGACACATTAGCTCACTCTTTAAGCTTCTTGGACTAACAGCAATAACCGTTCCATCGGTAATAGGCTCTTGTGGTTTACGATGTAATTCATACAAAGTAAGCTCCCAATTTTTTGAAGCGTTCTCAGTACTCATTTCTAAAATAATGATAATAATAATGACAACTAAGAGTAATATGAATGCATGCAGTTTGTAATAAATAAGAAGGCATGGGATTTCTAACTCAAGAGATATCTGAGCGAAGAATTGTTTTTTATAACTTCATTATCAAGCTCTACATTTACAAACCCATAATAATTGTATTACAATGGTCAAAATATGTTTTATTCGAATTATTCGTCACTTACATACACATTAGTGTACTTGGGTTTAAGCAACACTGGAAGTATGAGAACTATTGATATTATTCAGTCGCGCGATTCGAAATAAGTAGAGTGGAGTCCAAACCTATGACCTGGTGTCTGAAGGTTGAACGCCTTAACTATTGAGCTGCCGATGACATAGTTCTATTTGGTGAAGACGCCGACAAAATGCAGAGTTTTGACCACTATGAGCAACAATGCAAGCATGTTCGGCATGCGATTCTCTCCCTCAAAATGCAAAATGTTACTTCAGGATTGGGTTGCATCTACACCCCAACTAATGATAGGGAGTGCAGTACTTGAGCGCGTCAACCACTTCACTTATCTTGGGAGTCTCATCAGCCCTTGTGGTCCAGTGCGTGACGAAATCTCAGCACGGATACAGAAGGCTCGACTAGCTTTTGCCAACTTGTGTCATTTATGGCGTAGGCGAGATATCCGTCTATCAACCAAAGGATTAGTTTACTGCTCAGCAGTTCGTTCCGTCCTAGTTTATGGAAATTAAACATGGCCGGCAAGAGTAGAGGATATTCGTAAGTTACTAGTATTCGATCATAGATGTCTTCGAAACATTGCTCGTATATCCTGGGACCACCGAGTAAGTAACGCAGTTGTTAGGAAACGGGTACTAGGTAAGGATGGCAAATCAATTAATGAGGTAGTGAAACTTCATCAGTTGAGATGGCTGGGACATGTGTTACGTATGCCCAACCACCGACTGTCCCGAGGTGCGATGTTTTATGGTGTAGGAGTAGGCTGGAAGAAAGTTAGGGGCGGTCACACTAAAACATTGTACAAATCCATGAAGTCACTGACAAATGGGCTGATCCTTGTTGGTAGATGTATACTACCTGGTTGGAATCCTCGAGATGATAGTAACCGATAGTTAGAGACCTTGAATGACATGGCTCAGAATCGTTTGTATTGGCGCAGGTGAATCCACTCTTTGTGTTTTCCCAAATTCTAATCTTCCGTATTCTTCATTTCATTTTGTCTTCCCAAACATGCTTCACTGAATTATACTTTTTGAATAACATCTTCAAACCCTAATCTTTCTGATTACTGCTTATACTTCTACTAACTCTAGCACTACGGAATTTGAATCGACAACTGCATCTCTGTGCTAATGTGGTATAGCAACTCGAACTGATGTACGTACGTACGAAGCTCTACGTTACTGACTGAGCTGCAGCTCCAAATTATACAATATCATATGTCACCAAAGTGAACTTTTGCATTGGTTACAGATTTGTGAGTAGATTTTAATCGAATGGACGAAGTGAGTTTCACTTCGAGTGGCCAAATGTTACGATTTGTTTCGCCTAACTTTTCTCCCTTTCTGTCAAAAAAGCGGTGAAAATAGACAGTTTCGGGGTAATATTATGTACACGAGATTTATGGGAACAACCAAAAGACTTTTTCAGGAAAACTAAAAACTGGGTGAAACTATAATCTATGGACGACCTTTGAGAGACGCTAAAGAGACCTTAAGAATGTCCACCTACATACTACGGCTAAATGAGGGTTATAAACCAGCGTGAGGAGTTAGGATTAATATTTACAGTTGGTGGTTAGGGTTAGGAATCAGATATAGGGTTTTCATCACAAACTGACATAATCTATAATGCCAAAACTCTATTTAACCAAACGAATGAGTGAATTCAAGATCTGTTATCGTAAATCTGATTGGTTCGTCCATAAATTAGTCTCGCCAAAAACTGTTCCAAAAATGACGCAAACTCCAAAGATTTATTTCTAAGTATAGTGAACACTTATTCAACTTGTAAACGTCAAGATATCTAGTGTTGAAATCTCTCATAAGTTAATTAGTTTGTATCATACTGGTATTAAACATAGTTGAGAAAACAACCACGCATGGGTATACTGGATTTTAATTGCCGATAAGATTATAGTGAAGGCTTGTTCCCCAGGAAGAAGGTCAAGAGATGGCGTGTTGTCTGACCTCGATGGTTTAATAGTGAAGATTTTACTGTCTTTCCAGGCAACCTCATTAGCACATACTTCCATAAGTGAGGTATCGAAACTTCTCTACAAGTGAACAACTTGTTCTGCTGGGATGGAATTTGACTGGATTTTTTATTGCTCGAATGTCTTTTTTAATCCCTTCTCTAATAACGTTATTTTTGACGTTACTGGGTAACAGGTCATCTATGGTGATATGGTGGGAGAATTAAGCTTACTTGAGAATTTACGGGATGTGCTATCAGTCTGCTAAACATATATCTGTGGTTTATAAATAAGTAAATGATCTAACAAACCTGCTTACCTAATATGTTGACTTAGTTGGAATGGATTGATGATGATCTCGACACAGAAAAGCTATTTGTCCTTTCCAAACTTGAATGAATTTAGACTCGTGGTTATCTAAATGCTCATTTAAAGTATGGTATTTATCACAGCTGTCTTTCTCCTCGTGGTACTAGGACTGTTGGGAATAGAAAAAGCAAAAATACTGTCAGTACTGCATAATTAGACATCGAAGCATGGTCAATGTGCGTGAGATTGACAAGTACTAATGAGATTATGCACCAGAATGACCGTTGGGGTAGAAATAGAATATAAACAGCATTATAGTGGCCACATTGGTTCATTACGCTATTTTGTAAAGTCGATGTGGCAAACTAAATTGTGGAAAATTTCAAGTCTTCTGGCTATTGTTTTTGGAATATCAGAGTTCAGAAGTTCCCGACAATAAATTATTACGCAGAACCTGAAATAGACTAATGCGTAACTTCATTCCAAATTACAACGAACATTTTTTTAAACCGGAAATCTTGGAAGGTGATGTATTTTGGATGCTCTTCATAAAACAACAGTCGAGATATATGAAGTAAATGGTATATCCTGGATACTCATTCAAAGATTTTCAAATTTATGAACAATAACTAGAAGCAACTAATTAAAGCTTAAGGAAAATTGCATAATCTGTCAAACTTCAAAGCATGATCTTTAAGCTGAGGAATTATTAGGAAAGAAATATGGGTATATTATCATTCATAAAGTGACTAAACCAAATTCCGAAAGTATAACTGAAAACTCGTTACCATTTGGAACAGCAAATGCCTACTCAGTTTAATGAATCGATCCAGTGTGTCATATGCAAGTTATATTACCTATGACGAAAGGTAGTTGCAAGTTAATGTATAGTCCAGAACCAAACAACTCGATACGTCACTTACCCCGTTATACATGTAGCATCGTATTCGGTGGGACGTGGCTCAGAATCAGTCATAATCGAGCAGGTACACTCACTTTATTTTTTCCCGAGTCTTTAGCTTTAAAGCTACTTCTCATATTTTATTCCTCAAACTCCTCTCCTACAAACTGCATTAACTAATGTTTATTCTTTCACGCTGTTATTGCTACTATTATTTTTGCTCTCTTAAAACTCATATGATTTTTTGATATGTTAATGCTGTATAGGAACTCAGCTTGACGGATATTTATTTATGTGAACACATAAATATTGGTACAAAGGGGCACCGAATACATATGCGCCACACAAGTCACTTGATTCGTGCGTGGGTTGTGATACTTCCCGGGTTCCCAGACCGAAACAGATGGTTCTCTTAGGGGGGCATGCCCGGAGCCTTCGGCTTGAAGGTCTGACAGATATTTGCGTCGGGTTTTACAACTGACCGACTGAAACTAGCCTATGATTGTAGATTACGCAATTATCGTACTGCAGGATGCTGATAAGTTTAGGCTAGAAACTTTGTCATTAATACCCAACGTTCTCGTATATAAGGCTCCGCCAACTCTACTTTTGATAGCCTGTTATTCAGTCAGCTACAACGTAAGACAAGGCATATATATGCATCGGTCCAAATAGCAAAACGTCATTCTGTTTTGGAAACTTACTCCATGGTGTGCCCAGAAGTAAATGCAACTATAAAAACAACAAAGCTCATGAAAAACACACTTGTAGCGCAATAGACGTACCGACCGCAACACCTCAAATGTTCAAATGATTCTAATGGTTCAAATGGTTTTGGACGGAATAGAAGAAGCTTTCGCTTAACAGGCTTCCTTGTCTAGTAGCAGGGGATCACCAATACCTCCAGGCAAGAACCTAGGTATATTAACGATAAAAGAGAAAAAAATGAATTGGTAAATCATAGTAAGATACTATCCTTAGTCCTTAAGAATAGATCAAGTCGCCTCTTAAAAGACTCCTGGGGAGTTGCTTAAACTAGCTCAGCTGGCAGCGAATTCCAGCATTTGACAACTCGTAAGGAGTAAAAGTTGTGCCTGCAGTCCGTTCTACTATGTTGTATCTCTAAGTTCTGGGTGTTACCCCTTACGTTAGTGTTGGGACTAAGCTGAAGTAGGTGTTTAAGAGGATGCCCAGAAGTGTTAATGAAACTGTAAGCCATTAGAAGGTCACCTCTGAGACGCCTATAATCTAATGGGTATAGGTCGAGTGATTGGAGGCGCTCATCGTAAGGTTTAAATTTGAGCCTCCGAACTGATTTCGTGGCTGGCCATTGGATACGCTCCAGAGTGTCCTTATCCTTTTGGAGTGTAGGAGGGAATACTATGTTTCCGTACTCTAAATGGGGACGAATGAAACTATTGAAGATTATGTGGAAAGTTCTCCCGTCAAACTGACCAAAAATGCGCTTCAATGTTACCAGTGCAAGGTTTGCTGGAAAAGCATTTCTGTCACAGTTGGCGTAGGACTTTAAGTCGTAGGGCACTAGAACTCCTAAATCTTTTTCGACTCGGGATACTACTAGAGGGGAGTTTCCTAA